TGATTTACATGTTAAGTCTGACTTTGTTTACTCCTAATTTTATTTGCTATGCCTATGTCCTGTTGTCACACATTAGCACGCCTAACTTTGCTGCTTCCCAGTCCCCTGAATCCCCTGATTCTGTGTAGTCCTGTTCATTAAACTTGCATCCCTTTTAGCATTGTGTGATCTATTTGCTTCCTTTCCCCATGATCATTGTATGAAATCTTATGCTACTGTTTCTGTTGTTTCTTTCTAAACAAACCCCTTGTTTTCTTAAAACTCTTCTTTTAAATACTTCTTCCTGCACTTCACTATTCTTAGAAAATAGGTTCTGCCCCCTTCGTGTGAGCATTGCTTTGAGTGCCTCTGAGTGCTCACTGAACTTTGACACACAAGGTTGGTATTCCACACTGCACATGTCCCGCATTCTTTTAAATGTGTAGGTGTTGGTGTTGGCCTGGGACCCAATGGGGTCCTAGGGAGCTTTGCCGCACCTAGACCATGGCAAAGGCTGTGAACTCGAAGGGGTTGAGGTTGGAAGACTGGGCCTGATTGAAGGCTCCCTATAGCATAGCTTCTTATTTTTCTGTTCTTTAGTATTGTAATTCAGATGCTACTGGTTTGTAATAATTTGTAAACAGACGATTGGGGTGAATAGTGAATATGGGGGAGGGTTATGCATGCTTAGTATGAATAATGGGTAGAAAACATGCTTGTAGGATTTTATTTATTTATTTGCGCAATGGATAATCTGTATAGGCCATGCATCTCATTCATTAGAGATCCTGCTTTAGATTCTTTATTTCCAGACTGTCATTAGCTCATCATGTAACTGCGATCAGTTAATAACCAGCAATAATTAACAACAAGCCAAATAACTTGTCATTACTGCATTGGCATATTAGAAATCATGTACTTAGGAACTCTTATGTGCATTAGTTATCCTGTCCATAGGACTTCTCACTTGTTCGAGTTGCAGTGGTTAATTCACGTTTAGCTAATAACTTTGTTAAAATATGGCTAAGTGGTTTGAAACACTTTCTGCAAATGTCTTATCGCGCATACCTTTATAAATCAGAATCAAATAGGTGTGTCCATTCCTTTATAAATAACCAGACAATGTGTAACGACGCCTAGGAAAACTTCAGGTCCGATAAGAACTGGTCAATTGTGTTTCTATTAGCCTAAAACCAACCAACTTCTTTAAGTTTTAACTCTGCCATTCCTATTCTTGTTTTGATTTTCTGAAGTTCACTCAGCTTTTTCTTAAACAAAACTCTGCTGAAAACGATTTTGAAATGATGCACCTACTTACTTTTATTGAGCTTCTGATTTTATTTACTAGGTTACTCATCTCTGCCCAGAATCGTGCTATTATTGCTACTACTTCGTTTTCAAAACCAAGTTTTAACTGCTCCTATCTTTTGAGACCTTAATTGTGTTTAAGTCATGCTATTTATGTGTTTTGTTTGAGGAGGTATATATGAGCCTTTATATGTCTACATGCTTCCCCCAACATACAGTATATGTTTTGTATGTCGCCTTAGATTTTTATCCTTTGAAACCAATCAGCCTAATATCCTACCCTTTAGGATTAGTGGTCCTAAGTGCCTCCGGGACTGATAAGATGGGGGCGGGTAATAGCATGCAATAGGTAAAACGAGATCATTCCGCGTTTAATACCTTAACGGGGTGGGAACGGGTAGATATGGATATGATGACCACGCAATAACACCACGTGTATAAACGGTTACCGGGTGTTATGTTGACTGATCCATATTATGTATAAACCTAGGACCCCTTCCCTCATTTGTCCACTTTATTTTCAGAATTTCAACTACTTTTCGCCAAAACTTCAGCTTTTAAACTGCTTGCAACAACTATATGAAAATTTCTTCCTTTATTCAAGATTTCAAAACTGCTTCCTCTATCAAATTCAGTTTCTTTAACTTCCTTAATCTCTTGCAACTATTATGTGAAAAACCCTTTGTATTTGTTTTCCTACTTGTTGTTTGCATTTAAAGTCACAATATGACATGGCCGGGAATCACACTAGTAGATCTTGAGGGGTGCCTAACACCTTCCCCTCGAGATAATTTCTAGCCCTTACCCGAATTCTGATTTTCCAACTCAAAAACCCTTAGTGTCCTAATGCACTTAATCATTAGGTGGCGACTCTTCAAATCCAAAAACCCAAATCCCAAACGGGAATAGAGTTGTCTTCCCAAATGTCGTAGACCCGATTTCGCGAGAAAAAGGGGGCGTCGACAGATAGTAATCGCACATACATTTGCTTAGCCTTACGTCGCCCATCCAAGAAATCTCAGGAAGGCGCTGCGTAATAATTTATATATATAAGATTTAAAACCAATTAGAATTTGGATCTCTAACCATGATTTAACTATAAGCATTTTGCCAGAAAGTTGATTGGCACAGATTTTAAATCCCAATTAGAGTTGCAATCAATAATATTAAATAGAGAAAAATGAGTATTTAAATAAAATATTGCCATTTAAATTTATTAAATAATAATAGTACTCCTGATTATAGAAAAAATCTTGTTAGGGAACGTTTCTACTTAAATGAGCCTTATACAACGCGAATCCGGAGTAAAAATTGCACGGGTGTCCTATTTGGTCGCCTCCATTTAATCTATACCCATTTTTAAAAATTCTTTTAACTAGTACCTAAACTTTAAACAATTTCAGGCCTCCTCCTCCTCCTCCTCCTCCTCCTTCTTCTTCTTCTTCTTCTTCTTCTTCTTCTTCTTCTTCTTCTTCTTCTTCTTCTTCTTCTTCTTCTTCTTCTTCTTCTTCTTCAGGTGACAGTGATTTTATATGGTATTTGTGAACATATTTTAAAGTAGTTTATGATGTTTTACAGTGGTGAGCTATTGTGGTGCTTTACTTTTTATTATTGCTTAGGGTTTCTTCTTCTTCTTTTTCTTAATTGCAAAATGAAGATTTATTGTTGTTTTGACAAATTGATAATTGTGGTTTGTTCTTGATGAATTTGGAGGTTATGTTTCAAATTTGAGCTCATTCGAAGTAGAATTAGGTGTTGAATCGTATATTGAATTGTTAAAATTCGAAGAACAAATTTCTGTTTCTGGGCATTTTGCACTTCAGGCCTATTTGGCCTTAAGTGCATGAAAACGTTGGTTGTACTTCAAAACCTATTTGACCTTAAGTGCATCTAAAGTGTAATTTTTTCACTTTAGACTTATCGGCCTTAAGTGCATGTAACCATTGATTGGATTTCAGACCTATTTGGCCTTAAGTGCATCTGAAGTGAAATTGTTTTACTTTAGACTTTTTGGCCTTAAGTGCATGAAACCATTTGTTGCACTTAAGACCTATTTGACCTTAAGTGCATCTGAAGTTCATTTTTTCACTTCAGACTTTTTGCCCTTAAGTGCATGAAACCATTGGTGGCACTTCGGACCTATTTGGCCTTAAGTGCAACTGAAGTGCAATTTTCACTTCACACTTTTTGGCCTTAAGTGCATGAAACGATTGGTTGCACTTCAGACCTATTTGGCCTTAAGTGCATCTGAAGTGCAATTTTTTCACTTCAAACCGCTCTGACCTTAAGTGCATAAAAATATTTATTGCACTTCAGACCTATTTGGCCTTAAGTATATCTTAAATGTAATTGCACTTTAGACTTAATTGGCCTTAAGTGCATTGCACTTTAGATTTTTTTTTTTCCAGACCCGATAAGTCTAAAGTTGATTGCGAAGTAGGTAGGCTTGCAACTTTTTTGTTTGAAAAGTGGTTATAGTTTCAATTGTGACCCTAAAACTGAGAATCGATGCAAAAATATCGATCCGAATTTTGTCGGACTCTAATACCGAATACCGCGTGGGAAACAAACAAAAGATACTATATAATAATAGCTCTAGTAAGATACAAAATGGGCAAGGGTCCAGTGACTTGAGATTTAGCCCGTTAATTGCAATTCCGTGGCAAGATTTCCGGAATTCCCACTTTCCCCAATGAATCCTAGAAAATCATCTTTCTTTATTACTATTTCAGTAATAATAAAATTCACCAAAATCGAGATGAAAACAATTAAGAGGAAATGTAAAAAATTAGACAAACGTATATAAATGCATCCCCGGCAATCATAAGAAAAAGGGCCAAATGCTTCTCCTATAATTTTCCTGCAGAACCCCACTTTGCACGTTTGCATAGGTCAGTGTCTCTATGCTTACAAATTTTATTTGTTTTGATCCACATATCTTGTGGGGTTTTGCCTTTTTTTTGCTACATTTAATTTTTTTTGGGTATATTTCAATCTAGTTTTTAAGCTTATGATTGTTGTTGTACTGTTAAAAGTCGGTAGTTTTTTTCTCTGGTACTACTGGGACCCAATGATTTGGGTGTTGGATCCAAGGAGCTTCACAAAAATTTTGTTTTGGTTTTTTTTTGGGTTTATTGGTTATGTTCATGTAGTGATGATGTTTCTGTATTATTTGTATCATTGCGGGGTGGGGGGTTTGGAAATAAATATTGTAGTTGCAATTCTTTGATTTGCAAAAAGATGTAATTTTGATGGCTGTAAAGGTTTCTGCTACATATGTCTGTCTGAATTGGAAGTGTCTGTAAATCAATGATTAGTTTAAAGATTCTTCTTTTTAATGAGTTCTTTATTATACTATTATTGGATCAGATTACTGCTTTCTCTGTATGAGTAATGAAGTATACAGAAGTTTAGTTTATTGTTGACCAACAAAAAGCATGAGTGAGAAAGGATAAAGATTCAGAGCGAAAAGGGCTAAAATAAGTTGCTTTTAACTAGTTTCAGGATATTTGAAATGCAGAAGGAAAAGTTCCACCTTTATGGTATATGTCTTTATGTTCATGAAGAAGGCTGGGCTTCTAGCATTAAAAAATAGAAACAGCAGATAGTTGCAGTACTTCTGTGTGCTTTGTTTAAAAAATAGTCGGTTGAGTCTGTTTAAACCTTCTGCACAAGACACAAGTTAGAAAATAGTTCTAAAGCTAGCACGAAGTAAAGGACAGGAAATTTAAATGCAGTAAAAGAAGATGACACCAGGATCTTTATATTGGTTATGTAAGCCTACATCCAGTCTCTTGGATTACAAGGTTTATCTTATTGAGATCTTTTGTGTTTTGAGTTGACTACAGCCTTAGTTTTACTCACGCTCATCACCAACAACGTAACTTTTGGTTTTACAAGCTCATCTAAGAAACTTCTTTCGACAAAACTTTGTCTTCTTCTTTATCTCTCCCTTATTCTTTTGGTACACTAGTAAACAGTAGGAATACAGTGCTTTGTACGAAATAAGAAGGAGAGGTTTTGAGAATTGTAAGTTGTGTGTTTGTCCACTGCTGCAATTGTGCATGCCTTGTACTAGCCGTTTGAAGCCCTTCCATCAAAGTACTTAGTCATTAGTCGATTCATTATCATTGTCATCATTAAAAAAATCTTAAGCTAATGATTGATGCAAAATTCTCTCAATTTGTGCATGATGACACTTCTCTTGCATATTTGGACATTTGGTTTTCTCTGTTTATTTTCGTTACGCTCTAGTGCCATCATGAATCTTACTATTATTGATGAGGTTGCAGTAGTTTAGCGGCTAGCGTAAAATTTGTCTAGCAAATCCTCTTAATACTGGATATAGCCGAATGGATACAGAAGGATTCATATAGCCAACTCTTATTAATTTGATATTGATACGTAGTTTAGTGACTGCTTGATGCTCTAGTGCTAAGGCCACATTGCCGTATGCTTACAACGGAGACTATGGATTTATGTGTACTTTCTCAGTATGCAACTAAGTGGTTTGATATTTCAAGAATATTGGGCTATATGATACTATTTATCTATATGGATCTGGCTACAGTTACTTACCCAACATGGGTGTGTATGGATATGTATCCTAATTTATGCGATGACCAGTTTGTGATGTTAATGTGTAATTAATGAGGAGCCTACGATGGTTTCATGTTGTGTCAAGCATATCGCAAGAATTGAAAATAAAGGAGAACTTCATTCTTGTGTAATCTTTTAGAGGGACAGCAGCTATTGTGATACATCATAATCACACAATTTTGTTGGCTTAAGTCTCTTAATCATGTTTGATGAGAAATATTTTCTAATCTATGCTTGCAAACTGTCTAATTTAAGATTTATTTCATGTATCTTCAAATTATCATTCTTATTTTGATTTGTTCCTATTTTTTGTTGGTATTTTCAGAGAAAAGTCTGGCATAGTTTTATCTTTTAATGGATACAGATACTTCAGATGCTGAATCCACTAGTCGGAGAGCTGGTCTCTTAAAGGACCAGGTTGGACTAGTTAAGAGAAAAGATTGTGACCGATATGAGATTATCTCAATACCAGATAATTTGTCATTTGAGAAAGGATTCTTCATTGTAATACGTGCATGCCAATTGTTGGTTCAGAAGAATGATGGACTGATAATGATAGGAGTAGCTGGTCCCTCTGGTGCCGGAAAGACTGTATTTACTGAGAAAATACTGAACTTTATGCCAAGCGTTGCAGTTATCTCAATGGATAACTACAATGATGCTAGTCGAATTGTTGATGGAAACTTTGATGGTAAGAATGCATTTACCTTCTTTTCCCAAACAGTGCTTTGAGATGCCTCTGAGTATAGGTTAGAATTAGGTGAATGAGAGTGCAAAGGAAGCTGGTTGATAAGAGGGAAACAACTTTTGAATTTCATCATTTCCTTTAAACATTTCAGGATTACACCAAATTGGTAAGAGTAATTGAACTCCGAATGATTGAATTCTTGAGGAAATCTACCCTATAAATCTTGGTAGAGGAGATTCACGTCCTAAAATATACCATTGGAGCTCTTTTTTCCTTGGGAAATCCATGATTATTTATATTTCATTGACTCCACTTTTCCCCCCTTTTTAATGAATAAACAGCTGTCATCTTTTTCTTCATGAATTTAATCGACTAAGTTTTTGGGTAAGTATTGTGGGTGCCATAGAATATTGTCCAATTTCTTTGGCTTAATCTCAGATATCCAGTGGAATGAGGAATATGCTTATTTGGATCCATAGCATATATATGTATTTCATATATATATATATGTATGTGTGTGTGTGTGTGTGTGTGTGGTGGGGGGGGGTGGGGGGGGTGTGAGTATTCTTCTTCGTTTGTTTCGNAGACTATGATACATTGCTGAAAAATATCAATGATCTGAAGACTGGGAAGCCAGCAGAAATTCCAATATATGATTTCAAATCTAGTTCGCGAATAGGATACAGGTCCAGCTCCTTACTTTTAAATGTAAAAGTGTACGTTCTTATGTGCATTTAGCCATTTTGTGTACAAGGTACTAAACATAAACCAAAACAAGTTTGTACACCTGTTTTTGGATTGTGGACTGTATTAAGTGTTTGTTATCTGATAAACTTATGTGGAAAACATGTCTAGAAAATTTTGCATATCAAGTGTATTATCTTTTTATGTTGCATGGAATAAAAATATAACTTGAGTGCAGTTATGTCACATGGACACCATATTTGCCTTGATATGCACGTGTCAACCAGTTACAGCATTGGCGTAGGTACTTTATATATGGCTTCTTCAAGCTATAAACCATCTTTAAACTCTGTGCATCAGTATTTATTACATAATCGTTTTGATACTCGTGTTTGGGTTTATGCAAATTGTTGTAAAGTGCCATGACTATTTTTTGTTAGCTTTGTAATAACGAGGTGGATCCTTCTTACTTCTTCTGCTTGGCACTTTGTGAATCCTACCAACTAGTTAAATCTTGCTTTATTCCCCCCCCCCCCCCCTGTGCTCTACATTTTAGGTGCTTCTAGTCATGACTCTTAATGGAGGGAGATTCTTTATTAACCTACAACGTCAAGCATTACTCTTCTCTTCTTGCTCTTGCTAAATGTTTAATGCATTATGCCTTTGCCCACAAACCTTCTTTCTCAAAATTGAAAGTTCTTTGATGTTAGTTCCTATAATTTTCTTGGATAAATTATCAACCCTTCTCTCTCATATTGAGAACATACATCTTGTATATATAGCATATTAGTATGAACTGAGCTTACACAATTTGGTGTCCTTCAGGACCCTTGAAGTCCCTAGCTCCCGCATTGTGGTTATTGAGGGCATCTATGCTCTGAATGAAAAGTTGCGGACTTTCCTGGATCTTCGCGTATCTGTGAATGGTGGAGTACACTTTGATCTCGTTAAAAGAGTTTTACGTGACATACAACGTGCTGGGCAGGAACCATCAGAAATAATCCATCAAGTATCTGAAACGGTCAGTTTCTCCAAATCATAACGCAAAGAAAGTTTGACTAGAATCTCTTCTCACACTCCCAGCTTCAACTTCTTTTGCAGGTTTATCCAATGTACAAGGCTTATATTGAGCCTGATCTCAAAACTGCACACATAAAAATTATCAACAAATTTAATCCTTTCTCTGGATTCCAGAGTCCTACTTACATTCTAAAGGTAAGAGTACTAACTTGATTTTAAAACCTCCTATATCCGGTTTAGAGAATTATAGCTTCCAAACATTATATCTTAAAGTTCTGAGAAATGACTGATCTATTCCTCTTTCCTCTCCTTTTTAGTCATCAAGGAATCTGAAGACAGAACTAATCAAATCTGTCTTGTCTGAAGAACACACTGAGAGTACGGAACAGATTTATGACATATACCTTCTGCCACCTGGTGAAGATCCAGAGACATGCCAATCATATCTGAGGATGCGAAATAAAGATGGGAAATACAATCTCATGTTTGAGGTATGCTCCTTTTTCATAATGATGGATCCTTTTGGAAGAATGACAGCCAATGAGCTAGATTACACTCACTGTCAATAACCTAAAGTTTTAGCGTCATTTGGCTGAAAAACTCAAAAGATAATGAGTCTCATTCATTTCATGCTCATTCTACTTTGGGATGGATAGAATTCCATGCTATGGGATCTACAGGCACAACTTTAAGTAAAAGTGTAATTTTATTACTGAAGCACTGCACCGAGATGGTACAGTGCGGAAACAACAGAAAGAGAAGCCGGATATGAATCGTATTGTATCTGTAAGGATCCAAAACATGTTCCAGCATTACATCACCATTAAAATTAAAATCAGCATTACACCAGGTTTGTAGATTCTGAATGCATCTATATTTAACAAGCAAAATGTTCTCCTGCTTTTCTTTGAAGCATCTACGATTCCTTTCCAACCAAAGAGTCCACGTTATTACTTAGAGGATCGGTTCTCCAAATCTTCTGCTGCTTCTTCCTCATCTTCTGATTTTACCAACTGCATAAAGCTTTTACTTCACATTGACTGGCTCAATATGATTTGAATTGTAGGAATGGGTCACTGATTCTCCATTTGTCATATCACCAAGAATCAGTTTTGAAGTTAGTGTGCGTCTTCTTGGTGGATTGATGGCTTTGGGATACACAATGGCGGCCATCCTCAAAAGAAACAGCCATGTATTTTCTGATGAAAGGGTCTGTGTGAAAATTGACTGGCTTGAACAACTGAACCGCCACTATGTGCAGGTAAAGATATTTTCTTCACTTTGTTCATCTCATTATGATGGCATCCAAAACTTATGGTCTTGTCGAGGGTGTTTCTTTTGATGCTCGAATACAATGGAGCTACTAGGGTGTAATTCAAATGAGTAAATGTCCTTTCAAATTTGATTTCCATTGTGTGGATACAGTCACTCAGTTATACCCGAGCAACAATCGCCTGACCACAAAATGATTTTATTCATTACCTATAGAAGGCTTGAAAAACGCATCGAGTCTGCGGGGAACCTTTTTCTATTATTTCTTGTGGTGTCCTCATAATCATAACCTATAAAAAACGACTGTTTATTAAGTGTTCAGAATTAAAAAAAATCATAAAAAATAAAAAATTTAACAAGTCAAATATTTTTTCTCTTCTCATACAAGAATATTCAATTTTTAAACTTCAAGTGAGTACCAATTACAGAGATTTTCTTCTGGCAAAGGAAGAAAATCTCATTTTCTTATGCTGAAGGTTGAGTATATAGTTGAGAAGTCTCTCTTTTTTCATAGTTGATAAACTAGAATGACAGGTTGTTTCTTTGGAGTCGTAACTGAGAATGTTATCTAAACTTCAAATATGCTAAACTCTATTAAACTTTTCCTAGGTCCAAGGAAGAGATCGTGTTGTTGTAAAATGTATCGCTGATCAGCTGGGTTTGGAAGGCTCATATACTCCGCGTACATATATTGAACAAATACAGCTAGAGAAGCTTGTGAATGAGGTTATGGTATGATACCTTCCATTGCATTTGTGATGCACTGTCCCTACTTCTTATCCCTAAGCAGATACACAATTGCAGGCATTACCAGATGACTTGAAAACAAAGCTTAGCCTAGATGAAGATATTGTCGCAAGCCCTAAAGAAACTCTCTCTCGAGCCTTGGCGGAGAGAGTATCATGGAGAAATAAGAATATCAGAAGGTGCAGCACTTAATCCATATCTTCCATACCGTCTACTTGTGTATTCAATGATACCTTTCATCAATAAACTGAATGATGCCTTGTCTGTGGGCAATAATTTCTTATTGCTTAAAGAGTTATCTTCTACTAAACCTTTTGATAGCTTCAGCAATTTGTTTTTTGGGCTGCTTTCATGAAAGGAAGCACATATAATTTTGCTTGAGAAAATTGGAAATTAGGAGAGGGGGTGTTGGTGGGAGAAAGAGAGAGAGAGAGTAGAGGCAGGGGATCAGGAGGTATCTTCAGCAATCATATGTGCACTTGACCGATCTTCTGAATGATGTGAACATAGAAGTGACTTGCGGGAGTGATTTTATGAGAGAGCTAATGAAACAAGGATAAAACCTCATTAAGTGTATGTTTGCGCTTTGATGGGATGATGGGAAATTGTATGTATACGCACCTTATGAATGATTGAGTTTATGTTGAAAGAGAATATCATCTTCAAAGTATTAACTCATTTTATACCTTGTCAAAATATATTCATTCTATTAAGCTTTTTACTCTTGTACATGAGTAAGTCATTCTTTCATTTTATCTGCAATGAACTGCTCTTTGCACCTGGTAGGGTGTCTGACAAGAAAGCTTATCCTTTTAATAAGCAAACGAGGGAATTCATTGGGTTGTTAGTTAGATGCAATTTGCAATTTTACCATAGGAGTATTACACTAATTACTATTCCTTTTGATTGTTAATTTATTTTCTACACTAACATTATCATGTCACTCATACATCGTCTGGCAGTACCTCAGGACATTAGTACTTCCTCTATTCCATGTTATGCAACACTTTTTACCCTTTTAGTATGTTACAAAAAAATGACACCTTTGGGAAACAATTTAACTTTAAACTTCTCATTTTACCCTTAATGACATGATTTTGTAGCCACAAATATGGCATAGCATGCTCGGGTTGACAAGTGGGCTTTTAATGTGCTTAGAGGGTTCTTTGTAGAAATACTATGAAATCTCATACTATATGATAACATTTCCCTTATTTGGGTATGTGTGTTCAAATTTCTTCTTCGTTTTTATATTTCTTGTTGAGCTCAAATTTCTACTATTAGAAAATATTTTTAAAATTATAATATCTTGCAATATTCACATATAGTTCAATGAAATGGTTAAGCAAAAACATTCAAGAGCATACTAGGCTGCTGACTATGGAATGGTATAACCGTGTATAGGCGGTTATACGTTACAGAATGGACGAATGGTAACTCTGCCATATGTGCAAACCATAGCTGGTTCCAAGCCTGGACAAAAGGGAAGGATGGCAGTAAGTTGATGAGCAAGATGTAGATGACTCAAACTAGTGTGGGACTAAGGCATAGATGATATAATATGAAGAAACAGCCAACTGGTAAATTGTGTGGAAAAATTGGTGTTTTTTTCTCATTTTAATTTTGGTGCCAGTTCGGTCTTGTATCATTCTTGGATTTTGGTCAAACATGTTAGCACTGCAGTAGACCTTGGGGAAGGTGGGGTTGAACCAGGACAGTAAAATAAAGAGCATAGGTCTCAAAGAGAAGAAACATTGATGGACGTTACCCGATCTCCATTTGATGTTGGAGCAGAGGGTAGCCGGGTAGGTGGGAACTGAAGTGGGTATGATTCTTTCATTTTCTCTAGACTTGTGATGGTCCTGGGAAAGATTTTGATGTCAAATTGATTTGTGATTGATGTGCTTTGGCAGTGGATTGTCACACTCATATTCAACTAACAGGGACAAAAATCTATCAAATGTTAGTTCTGATTATCGGAGGAATGACATGAGTGCGGAGTCGGGAACAAGATTATTAAACCAGGTGCAATGATAAAAATTTATTTTTTTCTATAGGTACAGTAAAGCACTTTAGCTTTTGTAGGTACTACTAAATTCTTTACATGACACTCAGTTTTCATCGTCTTTATTCCATAAGGGAGCGGTCACACATTTATTGGAGCAAATTTCTACCTTGAATGACCGGATGGATGGCTTTACGTCTAGGATGGAAGAACTTAATTCCAAGTTAAGCAGCACAAGGGCTTCTCCAAGAAACAAACGAGCTTCTCCAAGCACACCAACTCTGGCTTTAGAAACTGAAGTGTGCAATGGATCTGCCCCTACTTCCTATTTCATATCTGGTTTGGAGAATGGTTCCTTGACTGGGTCCATCATGCCTAATTCCTCGTCTTTTGCTTCCCTTACAAAGGAGTCCGTGTTTATGGAAGAGGTAAGTTTGAAAATCTTAATTTTATCTAGTTAAATATGGATAAAGTGTTAAGATAAATAATTGAACAAAGTTTTTGCAATTTATCCTTTTCTAGTCTTCCTTTTATTAATAAACACATAACTGTTTTACATAAATACGTAATAAAATTAGAAGAATATGTAGTTTACAAACAAACAATACCAAATTACTAATAAATGATCGAAAAGACAATGTAATTATATGATCATGTATTTATAAATATACTAATCCTTTACAATAACAAAAATGACAATGAGGAAAGAAATTAAGAACATCATTAACAACATAGCAATATGGAAAACACAAAAAATGAGTAACTAACCGATAACCATATACATAAAGTAAATATCATATTACCTCGCAACAGAAAGGGCAAACGGCAATTTGTGCATGACTGCATGTGAGAGCTGGAGAAAGCTTCATGTCTGAGGTGGCATTGGCACACCACAGCTGAATGTCAGAAATTGCAGCAGCAAGATTGCAAGAAAGGCCTGAACATGATAATATGAAGCCCTAGGAATTTATTCTGGCTGTTGCTCCTTTTCATTTCTTGGTTCAAAACACCCGTGCCAAATGAAGTTTTATTGCATTCTTTTATATGGAGATGCGACATTTTGCACCTGTGTTCTTGTAATTTCCTTTTTATCAAAAGTAGTATATGCACATAGTACATTTTTTCAGCCAAAGCAATTCAGCTGAATCCTATTGGCTCAATGTGATTTGGGGGGGGGGGGGGGGTTCTGACAGATTGCACTTTGTAGTAGATTTAGTCCCTTATATATGGGTGAGGACTTGAGAGTTCTTTGATTACCTGAATTGAAAAGATTATCTTTCAATAAAATAAAGGACAAAAATGTGAACTTACCTTTTTCTAGATGTCAAAGTAGATGAATACTTCATTAAAATAGTATCAGATGAATATTTCCTTATTCCTGTACATTGAATTTGTTGCCTAACATATCTTAAACTTCTTGGCTTTTAGTCTCTTAAAAATACCTTTTGATACAGATATCAAATATTGCACGTGGACAGCGTCAAGTTATGCATCAGTTGGACAACATTAGCAATGTTCTTCGCGAGAGATTAGGTGAACAGTCTCGACAAGGAAGAACAAATAAGAAAAGAGATACAATTGATATGGATCCTGTCAGAATACCTCTCATCTTAACATTAGCAGTTGGTGGCCTGGGTAATCCTCTTGTTTTAAGAGCCTGCAAACATCGAAACTGATTCTTCATCCTAATCTTTTCTAACTGTAGGTATTTTTCTTTTTCTCCTACTCCTATTTTTATAGAGCCCATGCAAGTTATTTTTGCTTTGTTCGTACCCTTNGTAAGTGAATATATGAATCTTTACTATCTATATTCTGAAACGTATTCATATATGATATTCACCATCGTGATATTATCAATCAACAAATATGCAACCACGACTCATTATGTTGAGTCACACTTAATTTTTATATTTTTATAGATGAATAGAACTTTATCATTTATTTGCTAAAGAATTTTTGTGTCGACAATGCTAATTAAAGGAATTTGAAACATGATTTGTGTTAGGAACGGTTAGATGAGCTTCGAGCGTGGAGTATTAGGCGTGTTTTGGATACACAATTAGGTCTTTAGGGCATAAGCCTCACAGAATTAAGCCACATATGTGAGACTTAGAACATTTGGATAGTGCCTCTGCCCGGGACGGAGTCTCGTAACGCGTCCCAGGAAAACTTTTTAAAACACTGATCAAAAGCTTTTACAATGATACTAACAATAGATCGAAATTGCTTCTACAAAATCCTTCCAACGCTACTGGTGATGAGCTCTAGCATTAGATGCTAACATTATGGTGGGCTAAGGGTAAAAATAGCACGGTATAGTCAGTTTTCGGATTGGTCAATCAAAAATAGCCAGCGTTTACCAAGTCAATGAAAAATAGCCACTATTTTGCTGCAATAGAGACCGGTCCAGCATAATATACTGGAGTTCGGTATGAACTCCAGCATATTATGCTGGACCGGTATACTTTGCTGGCTCCAGTATAATATACTGGAGACTGGAGCACCGGTGCTCCAAACTCCAGTATATTATACTGGACCAATATACTTGCTGGAACTCCAGTATATTATGCTGGAGTTCTACTGTACTTATGCTGGAACTCCATCATATTATGCTGGAGTTCCAGCATACTTATTCTGGAACTCCAGTATAATATGCTGGAGTTCAAGTATACTTATGCTGGAACTCCAGCATAATATACTGGAGTATTTTCCGGGTTTTGAACAGTGTTTTCGCTCAGATTTATCTTTATATAAAAAGTGGCTAAATTTCGATTACTTTTGAAATTGGGCTATTTTTGAACGACCAGTTGTAAATCTGGCTATTTTTAAAATTTACCCCTCTTTTTGGCCACAATGGCCCAAATGGGGTTATATATGTAAAATCACACTCAAATTAGGGTTTTGGAACTAATCCTATGCCAAAACTGCCCTTCCCGTTAGGGTTCGAAATTCTCTTCTTGTTTCTCTCTTATCCATTGAATGCTTGTCTTCCCAATACATGGAAAATATCAAGCATGCACACCCTCTTTCCCATAAACGTATTTTTCATCTTTTTTTTTTTGTACTACACGCATATATATTTCATATTTCTTCATCTATATAAATATACTTGATTGTGTATTTCGTACATCTTTTGTATAATAAGGTCTTCAAAGCCCTAATATTTAAACAACCCTAGACGGCCGAACACAAAACCCTAAGGTATATCTTATCCCTCTTCAATATATTTCGTGTAATAAGGTATTCAAAGCCCTAATATTTAAACAACCCTAGACGGTCGAACACAAAATCCTAAAGTATATTTTATCCCTTGTCAAAGCCCTAATATTTAAAAAAACCTAATATTTGATTGTTTCTTCATCTCTTACTCTCCTATGTTCTTCTGAGTATGAAAAAATAGATAAAGGAATCTACACTGGTGCAGTCGAAGAAGAATAGTGCTTCAAAAATGTATGTTGTATTTTCTGGCAAAAGGCCTGGAATATATTACTCATGGAGTGAAAGTTCTCCTATGGTTATCGTGCGTTAACCATAGCATCTTCCAGTCTTTCAAATCTCATGATGCAGCCATCTGCATTCAACAAATTTGAAAAATCAATTGAAGGTAAAAAAAAATTCAAATAGATGGTGTTTGTTGTATTTTGTGGTAAGAAGCCGAGATTATATAAATGTTGGTCTGAGTGTGTTAATATGTTTGTTGGAGTCGAGGGTAGCTGCTCCCAAGCTTTCCAATGTTATGATGAAGCCTTAGAAGCCTTCAACAAATTTCAAACAATAAGTTGTTCATAGGAAGAGCCATCTTCAAGCTCGGTTGTTGAAAAAAGTGTAGAAGTGGTAAAAAATTAAAAATTCAGCAAGTGCTATTTCATCTACTATATTAGCAGAAAATATTTATTGGGATGAAGTTATCAGAAAATGTTGCAAACCAATTGTGTCAATTTTATTTCTTATTTTCTCCTATATTAGAAAAGTGTTTGCTCTAAGTTTTGGTGTGCAAGAGATGTAGACTTTGTTTTGCATTTTGAATGTCAAGTTTTATATGAAGTTGGCCATGATTATTTCAAGTTTACTTTGTTCATTATTTATGAAGTTCGAAGTTTATGACTTCTTTAGCATTTCGATCCTGTTTCAGGCAAATTATTCCAAGGAAAAAAATCTGCATTTTGTACATTTTGTATTAATTTGAGGGAAACTTACACAAATGTCCCAAATAAGTCTCAACTTACCAACCTCTAGCCATTAGTCATAGACTTACCAAAACTAGCCAAGTACATATAAAAATTAAAAAACCAAATAAATAAGGTTCTTTCTCTCAAAGAACCACATGCAAAAATCACCTTTCATATTTTTAAGCGTGATTAGCAACATTAGATGCAAGATGGAAAGGAAATTTCATTGAAGAGGTAGCAAATAAGGTGATGAAATGTAAAAAAAGCATACAATATTCCAAAAATCTAAGCAAAAAAGGAACTTTTTCAATGGGTATAGTTGACATTCATTGAAAACATATAGATAAGTCAATATACAAAATTTGAGGACGATTGGAGGTGATTTGGACTGGTTTTGTATCAAAATTCATAATTAAATCGAGTTAAAAAAATTCTTTTGCGACATGTATCTCACGCACAGGTATACATGGTATAAATGTGATACACAATTGATACAAATATGATACATATGTGATACACAAATGATACACGGTGTAATACACATATCATTTTTTTTATGTTCAGTTTTTACTTCGAATTTTCAATTCAAACCACCTCAAAACTTCACCAAACCATCCCAAAACTGAGATTCAAGCTCCTTAAGATATACCCAATCTATTCTAATAACACCCACTCAAAAGAAAGCAAAAATTTGATAATTTTTTGCCACAAATAACTAATTGGCTAATATTAGTAATTTTTATAAATTGGCCAATTTTTGTAATGAGCTACTTATAAATGGACATAACTGGTTGTTGTATTTCGTCAGTGTTGTACATGCATTGTATTTCAAATGGGTTAAAATGTAGTATTTCTTAATTTTTTTTATTCAATTAGCACTACTGTTTTATCGAATTTCCTGTTTTATTATATAATGTAGTACTCATCTACTAATACAAAAATTGCTATCCATCTAAGGTTAAAACTAGTTTTATTTTTCATAAGGTTAACTACAACATCTTATACCAACAAAAGCTTCAAAGGAAAGACATAGTACTAGTTTTGTTTGTCATAAATGTCATATAGGATACTGAAAAGGTTCTAATTAAATGATTCGTGAAGGGGAGAGAGAGGGAAAAAAAGTAAAAGAACTATATTTATACATCAAAAACGCGTATTTCTCAGTGGGTAAAGAAATACTAAATAAGCATATTTTTTATTGATTAATTGATAATTTAACATATTCCAAATAATATTTGGAAGTTAATCACCTAGCATAAGATAATGTTAGCATGCCATGCTACAAACATGGCATGCACAACAAAAGGACTTAAAACACCGATCTTCTTAATATAACTCTACTCGATCTTTTGGTTGATAGGTTTGATGCCATAGAGGTGGCTTCGGTGTCACTGCTTATAACGATAACAAGATTATCGTTATCTTCATTTTGGTCAGCGAGCAGTTCCTCCAACATGTCGTAACAGCATGTAAGAGGGTAGGAATCAAGTAAAAACCTTTTTATGTAGTCAATGCCAATTTCACGCGTCATCCTAAGCCGCAGCAAGTTCACCTCAGTCTTCAGCTTTTTCAATTGGTTTCTTACATCTTGGTATAGGATATTGTGGTTGACCGGAGAACTATGAAGAGGTTCATCAATGGTTTTTTTGTTGGAGTCCTTTCCATTGCTATTTTCGCAGAATTTGAAATAGAGTAGATGATTTGGATGATGAGATTAATAATGTAGTTGTATCTATAGAGTTATGTTAAGGGTTTGAATTTCTTTAGGGTTAGGGTTAGGGTTTGATTTTATTAATTATGTTCCCATGTATTTAATTGGAATCCCAATTTACAATGAATCTTTTACACTCCTCAAAGAATTCTTTACAGTTTTCAATGCATCCATTTCGTTTACCGAGAATTCTATTCATGAACTCTTGACCCGACCAGTGTGAATATCTGGTTTGAAATATAATTTTCATTACAAACATTTCGTACGAACTTTCTCGGTACGTAGTAAGACAAATGTTTCATCCAAGGAGGCTTAATCTCTATCAAGATTAGCGGTATTTTTTCCAGTATTTGAAAAAAAGAATCCTAGTTAGACTAATAATTTAACCACTGAAATTATTTACATTCTAGTTAGTCTAAATAATTCTCCATTTTAGTTAGCCTAAATAATCCAGTCAGAGTACGAACAACCTATTACTGGTGCGAGTATCTGGTTTGGTTTGAATAAAGTTGTTGTCGAAACTAATGGTGTTAGTTGAATTGTATTAATTGTTCCAGTTACCAAAATTGTATTGATAACTAAAAATTTTGAATTTCCATGTAGATATTTTCAAGCCTATTTACTAACATAAATATTCACATACCGACCATTTAACTTTTCAATAAAGCATTTACACCTCTTATTTACTCTTCCTATTTTGAATTCAAGATTGTCTTAGTAGTCTATAGAATTAGGATGAAGTCTTCTGGTGAGAATACACGAGTCTGCCTCTTTTTCATATTTAATTCACGCGGAAGAATTGATTTAAAAAAAATAGTCTTTTGAAATGATATAAAAAAAAATACAGTTATAACAAAAAACACACGAGAAGTGATGAAAATAAAAATGTGATATCATTTATAGTACAATAAAAAATAAAACTACACCTATCATAACTGGATGAACTTAGAATAAAAACTGAAAAAAGGATAAAACAACACAAACATAATCTAAAAACTAATCAATTTCAATCGGATCTTCAGAAGTTCCTTGTCATTTCACTTGCACTTTGAAGACAACAAATAATGGTGCAATATCAACCAACTCAAATTTAACGATCCAACCTCGCTTGGCATCATTATCCACCACAAAAAAATTCCGGCCTTCTTTGAGCCTTCTTTGTTCGCCAATGGTCAATGTTACAAACCACTCTTTGCCACCATATTGAAGAAGCGCGGTATCAGTTGTTTCAGGAAGATGCTCATAGATTCATTTTGGAATACACTTGTAAGCATTTAAATTTTATCGGATTTAAATCTATAAAATAATTTGGACCATATTAAATTCAAGATATTAGTCCAAGCAAATATTGTGGCTAGTAAATTATGCTAATATTTAAATCCAATACATGTGTTGGGCTAGTCCATTTAATTGGACTACAAATTAAATGATGAGCCCACTTCAGTAGCCCAAGGTCCAAATAGCTATTAGCCCATCTTATAGCCTAGGATCATGCCACGTGTCAAGTGATGTGGCAATCCAAGTCAAAAGAACGAGCCAATAAAATCATGCGACGTATCAAGTGATGTTGCAATCCAAGCCAAATAAATTAGCCAATTAAATCATGCCAAGTGTCTGGAAGGTATTGGTCAGTTCAAACAGACCAATCAAATCGCAGAGCCACACCACTCCCTACAACTATAAATAGAGGTCTTCATAAAGCTAGAAGACACCAGAAGTGATAACAAGAAGCAAGCAGAGAGCTCGTGGATCAAACACCGCAGATTTCTCTATAAGGTACAAGCTCAAACACTCAAGCACTCAAGATACAAGTTCAAGTTCAAGATCAAGAACGAAGCCAAATCAAATACCTAGGCGTTCAAGATCGAAATACTTGTTTGTGATCAAATACAAATTCAAGTTCAATAAGGAGATTCAAGACCAAGTTTTACAAGCCCTTGAATCAAATCAAAGTCAAGCTCATTAAGATACTTTACATTCTTGAAGAAACAGAGGAATAACATAGGGATTGTAACACTTTTATTTATTGAAATCAAATTTTGTTACGCAATTTTCTAGTCTTGATTATTTATTTTTCTCGACGCAAAAATTTGTTGTTATAAATTTCTGGTACGCCAGGTGGGACGTCCTATGAAACAGCTAATTGCATTTTACTGTGAGACTCCTTTCAAAAGCTCTTTACTGTAAGATTACATTTTACTGTAAGTTCCTTATAGTAAGCTCCTTTCAACTTTCAAAAGCTCCTTTTACTCCTTTCAAAAGCTCTTTACTGTAAGCTCCTTTCACATTTTACTGTAAGATTGCATTTTACTGTAAGTTCACCCTTGTAAGACTCCTTTCAAAAGCTGTCAGATATGTATGAACTCCATTCTCAAGTACATGTATGGATGGTTGCTTCTCTTTTGTCTCCAACTTCCTGATCAACTCCCTTTTTCTATGCAATCAATGAAAAGACTATATCTCAAACTTTGGTCATAAGCTGTTTTTTTTGGGTTATAAAATGTATCAGCCTTGCAATTCATTTGATTACACAATGCTTATTCTTAATTCTTACAAATAAGAAACAAGACTTCAATTGGCATCTCAACTCATAAATAAAGCACCAGTGGTGGCACAAGAAAATATGTGCAGCTCACCTAGTCAATATTGTTCCTCAAGACCGATCCACTCATGGAAAACGAACTAGCCTGTTAACTGCCGAGTCCAATGCATCTACATTTCTCCGGATGATTTTCAGCTGTGTTGCAAGACTATCAATTCCTTTCATTTCCTCATTCAATTTCAGACAAGAGTTTATATATCGGTTTCCTTTAGTTGCTGCATCAAGTGCACATTCTTGAACTCGTCCTGCGGCATCGCCAAAGCAGTCCATGTGATCAACAGAAGTACTCGTAACCTCAGATAGAGTAGAGCGTAGAGAAGCAAAAAGAGAAGTGAAGCTCTCGGCGATTGCCATGGAATCTCTCTCTACTACTTGTATTGCTTTCAGAATCTCTTTGCCATTAATTTGAGACTGCATTTTGGTGATCGCAACATTCTCCTCTTTGCTGTTGTTCTTCATCTTGTTCTGATTTGGTATCATCAGAATTCTGCATTTTGGTGATCGCAACATTCTCCTCTTTGTTGTTGTTCTTCATCTTGTTCTGATTTGGTATCGTCAGAATTCAGCTGATTCGTCTCCTGCTCTGATTCTATTTTCAGATTATCAAACCGGGTCGGAGAATCGAACAACTGTAAATTTCGATTGAACGGAGGGGCAAATCTGGTCATAAGCTGTTAGATATGATATCTTGTGTAGTAGTTAGAAATTTGATATCTGCTATTGCGCATTTGATCTCAAACGTGATGATCCAAATGAAAGACTATTCTTCTCTCAACAATATTTTTTCAAGCAATTTTGGGTGAAGAATGCTCAAAAGGCTGATTTGAGTGTATGATATGCATTTACAGATATACTAAAATACTTCATAGATGAGACTATACATACTTTTGGGACATTAATGAAGCAGATTCTTGCAATTTTGCTTGTGTCCCTTTCTGGTTATGGACTTTTAGTTTCATAACCTTGCAAACTATTATCAGCTTTGTTGTTTGGCAACATTTACTTCCTATTGACATAGTTATTTTATAATTTCAGGTCATACAGTTTAGCGGGTGGAAGATTTCAATATGACGAAGAGTTTCAGAGATTATTTGAAGATTGTTATTCGTTAAGATTAGTTATATAATGACATTAGCTATTTACTTCAAACAATATGAGTTATTTTTTAAGGTTTTGTGATATTAATATTTTGGATTAGTACTTCCTTTTGTTTGTTAAGATTTAACGAGATATACTATAGTTTTATGAATTAATATCAATATGTTTTGTTATTTGCATTATTTTTTGGTCGAATGTAGTAGCTATTACTAATGGTGGCTAAACTTACCGTTATAGCTTGTGAATTTTAGTGCCAATTTAACAGGATTAAGACGTTTATACAGGGATATTGTAACCATTATATTCCAATTAAAGATTATTTTTAGCGGCAATTTAATTGACTTTACTATCCATTAAAATGGACGCTAAAGGGGCATACTAATACGTTTTTAGAAGAGATATTGTTGCCACTTTAATTGCCACAAAACAATTACCGCTAAATGTATAGACTTTTAGCGACAAATATTTTGAATTTAGCGGCTATAAAAATGGACGTTAAAGGTGCATCATTAGTCGTTTTTAGAATGGGTTTAACAGCCATAATAATTGCCGCAAACAATTGCCATTAAACCAGATGGGTTTTAGCGGCAATAAGTCATACCTTATACCAGCTTTTGGCAGAAATGCCGCTAAAGGCTTTACCGACCCCGGCATCACCGGCTAAAGAACAATTGCCGGTAAATGATATAGCGGCTATTGTTATTGCCGCCAATGCTGTTTTTTATTACCGCCAAAGACCTTCTTTGTAGTAGTGGACGATCTCTACCTCTCATCTCTTCAATTACCAAATTTCAAGAACACAGAAATGGCTTCTAAGAAGATCAACTTCAAACTCATTACTGCTAAGGCTACGGATTCCAAGTTTTCATCTGATGTGGAAAACTTGTTGGATGCTACTATAGAAAGTGTAGGACCTGCCACTAGGAACAAGGCAAACTTTCTGGGAGAACAAGCATTTCAAATGCCGTCTTCATCAGTTCCTATCTTTGATTTTCTATCCTCAAAGGGGACAAGATCATTTCCAACTAAATTGGAAGAAGGAGCAAACATTGCTGAAATCGTTGAGAAGACATTGGTTCTACTTAGTCCATCTAGATCTAAGAATCTCACCACACAAGATGATGATGATGTCTTGATCACTGGATCTGCTCCAAGCACTCCATGTGAGTTGTTCCACTCGAAGTATGGTGTAAGAGAAAATCCATGCTTTGCTCCACCATCCACGACGGTTATCCAAGCAATGGTGACTAACACTTCAACTGTTAAAGAACAAGTCGCAAATTTAAAAAAGGCAATTGAAGGGTTAACAAAGCATATACAAGATCAAGATAATCAAATCATCAAGCTGACAGATAGAGTTGAAAGCATGATGGAGGGAGATTCAAGTCATGCACATGGAAAGCACCCTATGATGCAAGATAAAGGAGACTCATCTGCAAGGCAGACAACGACTCCTAAAAACTCCATATTTCATCTGACGGGGTTATTCCCATTGACCAATTGAAAGACTTCATCATGGGAACCATCAAAGATAAGTACGACGTTGCTGCCAAGTCTTCTCTCGCATGCGAAGCCAAACACTGCAATAATTGATAGTTTGAAGATGCCTGCAGGTTATCAACCCCCAAAATTTCAACAATTTGATGGTAAAGAAAATACAAAGCAACACATTGCACACTTCGTCGAAACTTGTAACATATGGAGATTATCTTGTCAAGCAGTTTGTCTGTTCCTTAAAAGGAAATGCTTTTGATCGATACACTGATGTCGAGGCTGGTTTTATCGATAGCTGGGAGCAACTTGAACATGAATTTCTCAATCACTTCTATAGCAAAAGGCGCACTGTAAATATGGTTGAACTCACAAACATGCATCAATGGAAGGATGAACTAGTTGTTGATTTCATCAATCAATGAAGGAATGCGAGCCTCAACTCTAAAGACAGACTTAGTGAAACTTCTGGAATAGAAATGTGTATCCAAGGAATGCATTGGGGACTTTGCTACATCCTACAGGGTATAAAGCCTAAGTCTTTTGAAGAATTGGCTACACGTGCTCATGACATGGAGTTAAGCATGTCTTCAAGTGGAAATCAAGGGTCACTTGTTTATGAACCTCTCAAAGGTGAAGGATAAACAAGAAATAAAGAAAGGAGGCAAGTTTGTGCCGAAGTCTGAGAGCAAGGAATCAATGAATGTTAATGCCTCGCCATTAAAGGTCACTACAAAAGTGAGTAAGAAGCAAAGTGTGAAGACAACGTCCTTACAGGATAAAGTTGGCCGAAAGTTAACTCTGAAGGAAATGCAAGCGAAAGAATATCCGTTCTTGGACTCCAATGTCCCAACAATTTATGAAGAACACCTTGAGTTGAAGCTCATTGAGTTACCTGAAATGAAGCAGCCAGACGAAGCTGGAAGGACTAATGATCCAAATTATTGCAAGTACCATCGGTTGATTGGACACCCTATTGAAAAGTGCTTTATCTTCAAGGAGAAAGTCATGGGCTTGGCCGCTGAAGGAAAAATCTTGCTCGAGGATGAGAAGGAATGCTCGAATCAAGTTTCTGTCATTTTTGGTTCACTTGATCCCATTATCCTTTGCAATTTTGTCGAACTACATGAATGTGATGGCATCCAAACCGCATCATCACCAAACATGATTAAATTTGGTGACTTTGAACCTATCGATGTGAGCAAACCATTGCTTCTCCCTATAGTAAATAAAGTAACAGTGGAGGAAAGATCTCAAGAGGAAAGTGAATCACGTGAGGTCAAACTGATGATGAAGGTTGGATTCTTGTGACTCGGCGTAGCCGCTACAAGACAAATTCACAAAGGGAGTCAAGTAAGCAATTAACTAGGGGGAAAATGGTGAAAAGACCCAAGAAGAAAATGATAAAGAAGAATTAGAAGAAAACCAAAATGGAGGAGAATCACTATCAAAGGCTACGTCGTCCAGTAACATTGGATGAATTTTTGCCAAGCTGGTTACGTACACAAGCTTCTTGTGAAGATATCAAGGCCTCATGTTATAAGGTAGATGAAGAAGAGACAAAGAAGAAAGAGGCATCATTGTTGCCACCTCCCTTGTCTGAAAAACTCACTGAGCATCTGTCTAAAGAAGTGGACACTTGTGATGCAAAAATCACATTTACTAATGATGATGTTTTGCTTGGTGAAACACCCCATAATCGCCTGTTATTTATGGTTGGATTTGTGCGTGAGCAGAGAATAAGTAGAATTTTAATTGATGATGGATCTGGCGTCAATATTCTCCCAATTCATAACTGTCAAAGAGCTTGGCATACCGATGGATGAATTATGTAAAAGTCATTTGATGATCAAGGGTTCAATCAAGGGGGCAAAGAGCTATAGGGGCTATTAAATTGCAAATAAATATGGGAGATTTGCATTCGAGTGCATGGATGCATGTAATTGATGCAAAGACCTCATATAATATCTTGTTAGGAAGGCCATGGATACACGAGAACAAAGTGGTTTCATCCACCTACCATCAATACTTGAAAAACTGTGAAGATGAGGTCGAAAAGAAGATAGTTGCTGGTGATAAGCTCTTTACCGAGGCTGAATCATACTTTGCCGATGCAAAATTCTACTTAAAGAATTACGTCTCAAAGGAGGTTAAGGTTGATGATGTAATGTTGACCAAAGGGGTTGCAAAGAAGGTTGATGTCACAACTAGCAAGGCAAAGATTACAGTTGAAAAAGATCAAGTGCCTTATGATAGGAACAAGATGAATGAGGCATCTTCAAGTAAGAAAGCGACTCATGTCCTTCGCTATGTCCCAAAGGCAAGGAAGGTTGAAGATCCATCTTCTGAACTACAAGGTAATGTGTTAGGAGACTTGAACCTTCCTATCAAGCGAATCGATGCAATTAAGTCATCTAGTTTCTTAAAGGGTTTGTCAAATCATCCAACCACAATTCGCTTCTAAATCTAGCACTTCCTGCAAAGAGCACAGATGAGGGCTTTGACCCAAATGCCTACAAGTTGTTAGGAAAGGCAGGATATGATCCCAATGAACCATCCAAGTTGGGAAAGCTCCCACCTAAAGCTTCAAACCCTACTCAAAAGATGATGATGGATAAAGGGTGCCCGCTGAAGCAATCACGTGAAGGTTTAGGTTACAAAAAACCTCCGCCAATCTGTATCTCCATTAAAAGGGAAAGTTGTAACTACATTACTTCTAAAGAAGTGTCTACGATGCTCAAGGAGAAGCCTTCTTAGTTTGATCAACTTACGAAACCAAGGACCTCAGTCTTTGATAGGTTGGGACCACTGAAGAAGGAAAAAAAGCGTCATGGAAGTAATAGAAGGATTGTAGCACCTATCTTCACTAA